AGAGTCCTCTCCTGCTGATGTTCAGGTGTATATCAGTATGTCGTGTCTCTACTTTAAAGAGTCCTCTCCTGCTGATGTTCAGGTGTATATCAGTATGTAGTGTCTCTACTTTAAAGAGTCCTCTCCTGCTGATGTTCAGGTGTATATCAGTATGTAGTGTCTCTCCTGTGACATGTCTGCATGCTTTAATGTTCAAAAAGCTCTTTATTTTTCTCATACTGTGCTGCAGCACCTCTTTTCACCCTCTGTCTGAAACCAGAGCCCAGTCTGCTCTGATTGGTTAGCTGGCCGGCTCTGTTGTGATTGTTCAACCAGCTTAGAGATGTCCCGCCCCTTAGCCTATCACGTGCAATGTGTTGGAGCGCTAGCCAATAGAAGTGTGAGTGTTCAGTGATGTCAGGAAGTAAACAAAGGAGTCCAACACACTACAGGGAAAACACCTTAAAGTATAATCAGGCCTCGTTAAGGTTTGTCCGCCTTCAATGGATTGTTCCTTCCTTTCTTCCTACTGTTTCCTGCCCTCCCTAATTCTCCCCATTTAACTCCTAACCCCAGTTAACCCAGGTTAAGCCCGGCTCAGATCAACCAGCTTTAGTGTGGCCCTTTAAACTTGGCTCGTACAAAGGAAACCTCCAGACAGCACAGACAGGTTTCAATCTGAAAGAGGAACAAACGAAAGACGTTGTTCCACAATGGCCGACCACGTCTACTCTTTACTTTCAGTTACACAACGCTGACACTGAAGAAGAAGACGGGGAAGAAGAAGAACAACAACAATAAAAGAAGGACGGAGAAGAAAAGGAAGCCTATATGTCAAAGACACTTTTCCTTTTTATGTAAATGTACAACAACATCATCTACATCTGGAGACGCGTGCTTGCTAGTCACTTTCTGCACTGAATCTCCACTCGGTGTAAAGGACTTGTGATTTAAAAGAAAGAGAAGGCATTGGAGGAAGTAAAGTGAGTTTAAACCAACCACCAAGGTCGATCCTCCCAGAATGCTTTGGGGGTTTCTAAACAACTAACCCTCAAATGTCCCAGAGCACACTACAACAGGCCTGCTGAGACCTAGAAAGACTGCGCTCTGTGTGTGTGTGTGTGTGTGTGTGTGTGTGTGTGTGTGTGTGTGTGTGTGTGTGTGTGTGTGTGTGTGTGTGTGTGTGTGTGTGTGTGTGTGTGTGTGTGTGTGTGTGTGTGTGTGTGTGTGTGTGTGTGTGTGTGTGTGTGTGGTGTGTGTGTGTGTGCTCTATGACTATACGCGTTTGCATTCCTGCACACAGTGACAGTCGCTAACATACCGCGTGGCATCGTCTACATACTGTACCGCTCAATCAGCAGACACATTATTCCAAACACTTGTGCAACTCTTTGCCGTACTCTTCAAGTCTCACGGGCACACAGCTGATTTCCCCCCCCCCCCACACACACACACACACATGCATGCGAGGAGAGTACACACACAGGGATTTTTCTTTTCTCACAGCTGTGTTCAGATATCAAACACAGCCCACTGAGAGAGAACAAATACGCTGACGAAGAAAGATTAGCCGGTCACAGAGGGCGACTGAACACACACACACACAAAACACACACACACACACATACGCAAACACACACAAATGTATGCAAAGGTTCTGTTTAGAAGTGAATTGATTGCAACAAATTACCAAAAGTCTCGACCTGACGGCAGTGACAGCAGAACTCGACAAAGATTGTGAATGAAATGCAGATTTAAGGGAAGGAAACAGCAGCTCTGAGAGACTTAATGAACTGTTTACACGCCAGAGCTGCCTCTGTGTGTGTTGGCACTGATTGTAGAAAGAACTGAATGACGGGACATGAAGTAGATACTTCTCCTAGGGTGGGGCATAATTATGTGGAAGTATACCTGCCATCAATTACACATTAACTCATGCGTTTCCTTTTGGAGAAGAGAGAAACTTGTCCATATCCAAACTTCTCATTCAGTTCAGACATGGCAGTTACAGAAATTGGGACACAGAAGTAATTTTACTCTTGTTTTTTAATGGGCCAAACATCCTCAAATCTTTCAGGAAAAATAAATGTGTCGATTTCCTTAAAACCGATAAAGGGGAAATGTTGCATTGCACCAATCACGTAGCCAGAAATCTTAATACATATTGGCCTCTGTGATAATGTGTGCACAATCCATGAAAAGAAAACAAATTGGCCTTAAAGGACAACATGTAGTGGTCGGATACAATCTAATGCCACTGTATCTCATCTTCATTTGACATATTTTAATGAGTTCAACCACGTTCTTTTTATGTCATATACTAAGGTCCATCTCAGTCCCTTGATTTGACTTCTTATTTCTAATATATAGGTCCACAGTTTGCCAATTAAAGTTCCTTTAAAGTATTTCAAGATGCATTACTTGAAGTCAGGCAGTAAGTATATATTTTATTTCACATACGTTGGTTTAAAATGAGGCATCGACTGAATACCAGAGTCTGAGCAGCCGCTGCATATTTGAAGCGCCGGGGGAATCCAAACTGTACCCAGTAAAAACACATCTGGTTTAAAAATAAA